AGGCCCGGTCTCCGGCTGGTCTAGGGAGAGAGAGACCCGGTCCCGCTCTTGCGCGTTCGCCTCAGCAACGCCACGGGTTTTTTTCTGCCGATGTTTCGATAGCTCCCAGGGCAACCGGCCCGCGACGCGCAGCTCCTTGAGCGGTTCCCTCGTCTGCAAGTATCCTATGTGCCTGAAGCCTGTCTGTTACAGCTGGGACGATAGAGAAGTGCAGTATTGGTCCTTGACGCTTTTGCAGCTCTGCTTAATGTTGTGGTTCCTGCCCCATGTGACAGAAAAGTGTAAATAGAATTTGAAGAAATCAGAAATCTTTTTTGCTGGACACTTCAAAGACAGTGTTTACAGTGTTAAGGTACTTGGTAACTTGCATGGGTGTTTTTTTGTGTGTGTGTTTTGGGTTTTTTTTTACATTCATTAGTTCTTTGAATACCCTATGCAACTTTAAGAGTTGTTCTTTAAATCACTTGCATTTCTAGGTTATCATCTCTTAAAACTTTGTTATACCTGATTTTATTCTGGATAGCCAATGTTCTGTCATGAATTCCTACAGGCAAAAACTATTTGCTGTTTTTCACAGTGTTCACCTTCCCAAGATGAAAGTATTTTCTACTAAGTCTGTTATTTTTATGATCTCTTCAGCTATTCAGTTTGTAGTGATGATAGCTGCCAGTTTTTGCATCCAGAGGTCCAGTGTAGAAAGGATTGTTGATACTTTTGCAAAACAGTCTATATGATTAAATGAAATCCTGTGAGAGTGTCTTCTGTGAGTATTTGCATTGCAGATTAGAGCTTCAGTTTTATGTCAGACTCTGAGACTTGAGATCTGGTTAAATTGGCAAAACCATAGGGTGGATCACTTTGTAAGGTAATGCAGGACGAATAGCTGCCTCAGTTTCCAAATATTTGAGCTTAAATTGTCCCTAGCGTTTAACAATGAGTATTGTGTACTTATATTTAGCATGACTAATAACCATAATTTAATGATTAAAGGGGAAGAACCTAATAATTAAATAGGAAGAAAATACTTTAACAAGGGCAGAAGACATGTGAAGATCTTCATCTTCTTGAAGACCGCTGATTTAAACACCATTGAGGCAGAAGAAGAAAACAAAAACAACCCAGACCATTGTGAGTAAAATCCTGTGTCTGGAGAATATCTCTTCATGTACAGGCTGTCAGGCAATGCCTTTTCACTGCTTGGATTGGTAGGTTTCAAAGTATTTGGCAAGAAGAGAAATCCAGTGAAGACAGTGCAGGCAATTATCTCCCAGGTTCCAGCAGAAAATTGAACAGTAAATTACTATTTTAAGGCTATGTAGCTGAAATCATTACTTTTACTGTGTATTTGAGGGGAAGTACTGTAGGGGATTAAGCCACTCACAAGCAGATCTCAAGAGTGTGAGGAAGAACTTTTTGTGAGAAGTGTCAACTTTCTGTACTTCTGTACTTTTTCTTGAAACTAGCTTTTTTTTTTTTTTTCTTTAAACCATTCGAAAAAACCACTGAGTTTGGCAGTTTGCTAATAGATTTTCTCAAGTTCTGTCAGTCTGTCCAGAGTGCTAAGATGCAGGCCATTTGTTTTCAGTTGTGACTTAAGAGCTGGGCTGTCATCCAGTCTGTGCTTTTAAAGTCTTGTGTTGGAGAAGAACCAATATTGGTTGCTTACAAACAAATGGTTGCAAGATACAGTAAATAGTACTGTTAGGCTATCTCTAAATATAAATGTATTTTGAAGCAATGGAGTGAGGGCAAGGTTCTTTAAGATTAATACTGCTGTTTGAAGGTACTGCTTCAGGTGTTTCTTTTTACTATCTGCCAGCCAGGGGGCGTTGTTAGTATTTTTAGATCTAATAGCAATTTCTTTTTTCTTTTTTTTTTCCCTTCCCCAGTCTCCCTCCATTTGAGAATTTACTAACCAGTTCTTATTTATCCCTCTGATAGATCTGAAAACTGATTTGGATGATGGTGCTTTTGTGCTTTGCTGATTCTTTTTTTTTTTTTTTTTCTTTCTTTCTTACAGTCTTCAGTTTCCTTGCAGGACAGTTCTGCAGGGAGAAAGGCACCTTTTCGTAGTTCCACTGATTCCTTAAATGAGTCTCTTTCTTTTGTGAAGCAAAGCAAAATTTTAATAAATTAAAAGTGGGTTCTCAACTTGTGTGTTACAGTGTAGAAGTTAAACAAGGACCTCTTGGTTATCATCTCAATGAACTTACACCTATTTTGAAATATCTATGTAGTCTGTTAACCTTCACCCTGCCCCTGAAAAATCTGAAGTTTAATTAATTAATAATCTAAGTAGAGAAGTATTGTCTGTGATGAGTTGCTAGTCCTGTCTTCTGATGTTTGTACATGCAAACATTGCTCTCTTGGCCAGTGAGCTTGGGGGCCAGGTGAAGAAAAGAATAAGTAGTATTCTGAACTGAAGAATGCAAAAGGTTTTTGCTGCTTGTGTTTCTTCTGCTCCTTTGAAACAACGAAGAAACTTGTTTTCACTCAGTTTTAGTGGATTTAGCCAGCCCTAAATACTTAATATGCTTTCAGATATCTTTATCTTTAAAGATCTTGATAGTTGATCGGATTGTGGATTGGTACTTGACCCTGTTTACAATGAATGATGATGACGACTGATATTAATTGGTATCAAGCCCTAGCTCTGTGTGTTACTGTAATGCTTTGGAAACAGTAGTGTCTAGAAAAGAGGAGCAAAAACCTTTGAATTTTGGTGATAATTCTATTGCATTTTGTAATTTTTGTGTACATAATTATTTATTTTTTTAAGGAGGAGAATGTACTATATTACATTTATTTCATGATCTGAAAGAAGAATAGCATTTGGAATAATGGCAACAGGAGACCTCAAAGGAAGTTTGAGAAAAATAGAACAAGGACTTCGCTTGTTAAATTATCCAAGAGATGTGGATTATACAGCGTAAGTGGCAGTGTGAAGAAATTTATGCTAATACATGATAGCAAGATATGTAAACAAGATATGTATAAATATTAGCATTGCACCCAGTGATGAGTAGGCAGAGCATATGTCTGTGGGAAGTTGAGGTTTGATGCATGTGAACTGGAAGATAAAACGATGTAGTTTTGCTGTTCTGAGTATCCTTAGAATAATCCTGAAGTATATCACTGTCTTGCTCTTTTTCTCTTCTGCTATTTTTCTTTTCTTTGATTAATCTCTCACCTTTATAATTTCTTTGTAAGTGCTAGCAAAACCTTCTTCAGGAAATTTCATCCTGTAAAGGTTAAAAAAACCCAAACAACCAGTGTTGAATGTTGAGATGGAAGTGCTGGTGGGCTTTAGACCTGACAACGTTAAAATTATATGAGGGTCACAGAAACGTTGTTTTGAGCATTTTACGGATAACACTAAAGATTGTGGAATGAGAAAGAACCTTAAAGTGAAGGACATACTTGGATATAACATACTGGCTATATTAAAACACCTTTCAGGTTAAATGTTTAAGTTCATGTAATGAAAAGCTTTTGTTATCTTCTGCTGTTTAAAATACTTTTGTTTCTCAATAGGTTAGTAAAGGGTGATCCAGCTGCATTTTTACCTATCATCAGCTATTCTTTTACATCTTTTTCAACTTACATAGCAGAACTTTTGGTAAAGTGCGATGTGGAACTCACGGCAAAAAGTGACTTGCGTTTTATTGAAGCTATTTATAAGGTATCTGTCTTCATGTTCTCTGCAAAAAAGGCACAATTTTGAGTATGGACTCATAAAAATTAAACATCTAATATGAGTTTTACTAGAAAGTGAAAATTTTTGGCAATGAATGTGAATTGTAATTCTGTTAGGATTTGAGTAGTAAGTTACCGTGTGACAAGTCTTTATTTAGATTTTCATGAAAATAAGGATGGATGTTGTTAGCCAAATCTCAATTTTGAAACAATTGCAGAAACAGTAATATTATTGTTTTATGTTAGTCTTGAATAATACTGAAATATTTATTACACTTTTAGAGAAGTGACCTCAGAAGAAATCATAACCAGCAACACATCACAGCAAACTTCAATAGTTGTAATGAAAGTACAATTAAGACATACAGCTAGTTTAAAACACCATGCCTTGTTAATATATAAAGTTCAATACTTAACAGTTTATAAATTGGAATCAAAGTCTTAACTGAATGAAAATAATTTTGAACTATCCTTAAAAATATCTATAAGCACATTTTTATAAAAAGTGGCCTGATGTATTAATGAATACTGGCATATTCAAACTAGTTTTCCATCTGAGGAGGACAGACACTCCTTTACAAAGAGGCTCTGTGGGAGCCTTACTTAGCCCTCTCACGCATTTGCTGAGATTAATACAACTTCTTATTGTACATTCACTTTGGAAAGTTTTTGTTTAACTTTTTTAATATTAATGTCTACAATCATTTATTTCATGAATCTTAAGACTGTGAGTTAAACTTTACAAGAGTGATGTGAATGAAATGTTTCTGGAATAGGTATGTTGAAAGTCTAGTTAGAAGAAACAGCTGAGAATATATAAACCAAATGAGATAATATTTAACTGCTGAAATGCAGAATGAAAGAAAAAACTGTAGAAAAATAAGAACCTGAGCATGCCATTTCTACAACAAATTGTGTGGTGATTTTGAAAGTGAAGTAAACTCTTATTTTGTTGCAGCTTCTTAGAGATCAATTTCAGTATAAACCGATTTTAACAAAACAGCAGTTTCTTCAGTTTGGCTTTGCGGAAAGAAAAATGCAGATTGTTTGTGACATTATCAACTGTGTGATCAAAAAACATAAGGAATTAAGTAACTCGAATAAGGTACTGATTAAATGGTAACTTTATTATGAGATAAGTTTCTTTTGACATGCTTGATGCTGCAGGTAGAAGCTGAAGACGGTTTATTTGAAGGTGCAGCATCACTGATACTTCAAACAGGGTGAAAATTAATAGGAAGTTCCATTGTAAGATTGTTGAGTGCTATCAGATATACAAAAGACACGAAGCTGCCAATGCTTCATAGTATAAACAAAAAAATACTAAAGATAAAGGTAAATCTAGTTCTTGGTACCTTTACAGTAAGTGATATATTTTCTTTTACACTTCTCAACATAGTGTATGTTTGTGTAACTCAGTAGACTTTTCGGGTAGATTTAAAAACAAAGCAAAACCATCTGATATGTTGAAGTTCTTGTAACATTTAATTTAAACATGACACTGTGTGTTTCAGTGGTATACATCTCAAATCTGATTATTTTCAGTAAACATATTTGGTTTATATTAAGGCATTATTTTTTATCAGTGTATGCTATGTATCAGTGTATGTTTTAATAAAAGGAATTTTAAGTTGTCATATTTTACAGGATTTTGTTTCATTTGCCTTTATAACAATCTTCAGGACTTCTGTATACTTCATTTGTCACTTTTGGGGACATAACTACATTTTTTCATATTTGTGCAAGTTGTCTTTTTATGATCAGCTTTGAAGCAGCCTTGCATAGGCGTTAATGAGTGTATGAAAATGGCATTCACTTCCAGATCTTCTCTGTAAATTTGGGTCATGCTTAATTGGTTTTAGACATTATTGTACTGCAGAGGTTTAAATGTGTTTGTGTGTGCCGTACAATATTCCTGCCTGTTAATGATAGCAAAAAATGGAGTGTGTCATCCTGTCCCCATCTGTGTGCCCTTCCTCCAGTATTCCTGTGATAGAAGCCTAATATTTTCTCCCTTTCACTTTTGAAGGTTAAATCCCAAACAAGGAGAAATGTCAGATCTTTTAAATATGAAATATGGTCAAATTGTGATAAAGTCCTTGCTGATCCTAGTGGCAGTGCTCTGAATTCCAAACAGGTATGAAAATAGTTTTTATGTTGCATGTCTAAAGGTTAATCTCATTTGTAGCAAGTCAGGGTCTTTCTGGAATATGTGCTTTCATTTAGGTTTTAATGTTTGATCAGACCAGTTTTGTGGAGTTTTTTTGTTTGTTTGGTTTGGTTTTTTTTCCCCCAAAGTGTGGATGACTGAAATAGTACCTGAAATTCAGAGGATATTGCTTCTCTCTTATGCTGAGTAGTTGATCTCAGAGTCTTGATAGAAATGATCTAGTACTGTTGTTTGCCATTTGAATTATATCGAATGGAGGGACAGCAATGAAAGTGAAGATGCATTTGGAAAAAGAATATATATTCTCTTTGGAGATTGAAATGTGTTTGTCCTAACATTGCAGGGTTTTCAATATAGCTTTCAGAACACTTCTTGCATTTTTGTCTGAATCTGTTCAGCAAAGATTTCTTAATGTAACATTCCTCTTGGCTTCAGTTTTACAAGAGTAACACTTGATCTTATGTGTTATGCTACTCTTGGCCTGTGGAAGAGACAGCTTTCCTAATATTTTCTGCTAAAAGGGTCCACAGTAAAATTGTACAAAACTCTTAGGACTGTGACTGCCCATTAAATGTTAGTGATTTCAGTTTAGAAGGAAAATACCACTTTTAGTAGCGAAGAAAACTTCAGAAAGAAAGTATTTGGAATTACTTATCTGGCACTTGTGGTTGTTGAATGGTTGAACTGAATGGGAATATATGTGAGTGTATTAAGAATTTCCTAGAAGAGAAGAGTTTCAACTTCACTAAAACATATAGGAATCTCTAAGTGTTAAGATGCTACACAAAACTAGTAATTGTGGGTCCTTAATTATGAGGTAACTTGTTTTGTTTTGTGACGGGTACTGATCATAGGACTTGATCCACCTGGAAGGAAAGGCAAAATTTGTCTTGTTATTTTATTCTCTCCAAGGGAAGCATTCAAAGGGAATGCTACTAGTGTAGCTAGTAGGGCTATTTTGCTGATGGTTGTCAGGGAAAAAGAGAGAGTTCTAATCTTCCTAGTGAAACTTTTTTTTTTTTTCTGAAGGTTTGAGTGGTAGTTTTGATGTTAGAACTGTCTATACATATGTTAATACATACAGTGAGATTCATACCTTCCAATCCACACTTAGAAATCTAAGAGCCCTGACAGTAAGAGAGGACATTAATGCTTTCATGACTATTTGTGGAAGGGGGCCAAGGTACATAGTATGTATTGTAAAGTGTGTGCATATTTGTTTTACAGTTCGTTCATGTATATATGTTTTGGGGTTTGGTTTTTTTACGTTAAACTGTCTGCTGTTGCTTTCTGTGTTTTGCACAAGTTGGGATGACATTGTCAGATTTAAATAAACAAATACTAAAAAGATAGGACTTTTGTATCAGTTACTTGGTTGATGAATTGAAATGTTCTTGTAATGAATAACACTAGTGATTTTTTTTTTTTTTTTTTTTTTAAAACATACTCAAAAGAAGCCTCAAGTAGAACGGCACTCAGGAAACGAAGTTAGTGGTGACCTTCATCCACTACCCCTTCCAGCACAGGGAAGTAATGAAGGAGAATTGTATCTAAATCATGATGTTGTGGAAGTTAAATGTGAACAAGTAAGAACTTTTATTTTAAGATGCTGTCTGCATGTATTCTTAACTTTTCTTACGGGGCTTTTATAAAGGAATAAAGTTTTAACAAGATAGCTGGATGCTCCTGAAGTATAGCTAATAGATATATAATAAATTTATTGGAAAAGTTGAAAAAAAAGTCAGTTAAATTGTCCTTTCAAGAGCCAGTTCTGTCAACAGTTTCTTTTAAAATCTGAGCTCCATAAACAGGCATATTATGGCAATTCTGAAAGAAAAATAATTTTCTAATGTAGCAGAAAGTGGTTACTGAACTTAAGGAAGACTCCACTTAATTTCATTGATCAAATGATGAATTATATTTGTTTTGAAATTAGAGGACATCTGTTCTTATCCATATTTTCAGGTCATAGAAGATAATTCTCAGATTGAGTTCTTGAAGAGTCAGCTTGCTGATTGTCAGGAAAAGCTTCATAAGCTAGATTGGATGGAAGGTAAACTACACGTTTTAGAAGAGAAACTGAAAGGAAAGGTGATCATAGATGAGAAGGACTGGAATAATTTGTTGAGTCGAGTTTTGCTTCTTGAAACAGAACTGTTGTTGCAATCCAAAAAGGTATATTAACTTCTGTTTTTCTTCTGTAACAAAAATTGCCCGGACACAATGTTGCCGGCCTGTTTCTGCTCTTCCTGTCTCCTGATACATACTTTTTCTTTGCTATTTCTAAAGGCATGATCTGAATGGAAGTGCTGTTTGTGGAGTTGGTGTTATTTTTTTCTTAACTGTTAAGTTCTGTTGTTTTCTCATGCTCTTATTAACTAAAGCTCTCCATTGGAAATTGTTTCCTTGCAGGAGCAGCAGGTATAGCTAAACCTATTTTCATTAGTAATGACTGTGTCTGTTTTTATTTCCTATCAACCTTGTAGAACGAAGCTTTTAAAGACTCTCAATTATGTTGTCTTTGAAAGCTTAATATTTATGTAGTTGAGAGTTTCATCATGCTAGTGACACATTTAAGGGTTTCCTTATTTTGGTCTGTATTATTCGGAATTTCTTACAGTGACCTGCAAATGTTGTCGCTGTTGATACAGTTGAATATCTATTTTTTTAATTCTCCAAACTCTAATCAGATACAGATATTCCCTTTGGAAGATTGTCTTCATTCTTTATAACTAATGTTGACAAAAATAGATGGCATGCTCAATGGAAAATACAAGGTTAATGCAAAAGTTAATTCTTATTTTAGTCCTACTCTTAGTTTGTGGCTCTTTGAAATTTCTAGCCTAATCAACAGTCTTTCTTCTTTTTGCACCCCCCCTTTCTCCCTTCCTATTTCTTGTCTGTGACGTTCATTGCATTTTAAATACGTGGAAGTGCTACAGTTGTGATGTGGCTACATTTGATATATTTGTTAAAGCAAATCAAAGATTTTGTTGCAGTAAGACACTGTGTTATTTTTCATGCTGTTGAAAGGTCCTTGTATGCATAGCCTATAATTTCATATGTACACATGTAAGTATTTTGAGATGCAGTGAACCATAGCATCAATTTTGTGATCACATGCTTAATTTCAAAGTGTATGTGGATATGTCTCTCGTGTATCCTTCAGATACTGTCAGATGCTTTCCAGAAGCTGAAAACACTTGTGGAAAATAGTTGATCAGTGTTGCATTTTTCTCTGTAGTTGTAAAAATGTTGAATTTACTTGTAACCAGGAGCTCTCTGTGTGTTACTGACCCTGCAAATTTGAAAATGTCACTAACAGTTGTGTACAAGACATGTTGTTTTTCTGTGTGACTTGAAAGTGTGCTAGTTATGCAGTCTTGAAATGGCGAACTGTTCAGACTGATCACTAAGTTATTTCTAAAGGCTGCAGCTTATATGATAAGGATTGACATTCTCGATCACTTTTTTAAACACAGCTTCAGGTCAGTATTGGCTCAAGTGATTTACCATTTGAAATCAATTTCTTATGGATATTGTAATTTAATTATCAGTGGACATAACACCACCAATGATAATGTTTTCTTGTGGCAATCTCAAGAGACCTTCAGCTGTACAGCCAAAGACAGTTTTGCTCCTGTATCACGTGTGTATTCTCTTCAAGAGATAGTTGTTGCATTTATGATGGTAGCAGCACAGGAAAACTTGTGCTTCAGAGTAGGCTTGTTCTTTTATTTCTGCAAATTTGGTTTATTGTTGCTTTAGTAACATGTTGATTGCAGTTGTTCAAAAGTTTGGAATACTATTTGGAAACTATTTGGAAAATACTTAACATTAATAACACTAAAAAATTTCCAGTAAGGTAATTATATTTCTGTATTGCATGTTACTGAAAGAAGACATCTGCAGAAACAAGTTTGAATGTAGCTTGTGTGTGGCATTGTTGCTTGTCTTTTTTTTTTTTTTTCAAAGCAAAATAAGCTGGTTTTTATATTAAAAAAAAAAAAAAAAAGTCTTCAAAACCCTAACTTTTTTGCAACAGACAGTTGAAAACTGCCAAGAAATAATCCTTTGGGCCAGAGAATTGCTGCTGCTTTGTTTCATGAAATTCCATCCAAGCTGAGCATCACAGATATAGAAGCAATTCAGAATTAGTCCTTTCTTCTTATTCTTGCATTTTTCAGGGAACTCTTGGCATCTAGCCAACATAGCAGGAACACTAAGGTCTGTTTTGCACTGCTGCCAAAGTAGCAGCAGCTGTGCATTTAGCTCTGGGAAAGTCTGAAAGCTACCAAATCCATTTCAATGAACGGAATTGAGCAGTAGTAGTCAGTGCAGATACTTTTTTTTTTTTTTAATGTATCCACTATTACAGGTTTTTCCAGCATCTTCCCACACAATACCTACTATTTCTCTCTCATTCACTTACTTGGGTATAATATTCCCCTGTTAACTGATGTAGTTACTCCAGTATATAAAGTGATTTACTTTACCGAAGGCTGAAATTTCAAATCATAACAATAACTCGTTGGTGGAAAAAAGTCTAGATGTTGTTTCAGTGTTAGATTTTTTTTATTTTGAAATTGGAATATTGCACTCAAAAACATTCATTGTTAGTATACATTAATTTTGTTTCCTTGTTTATGAACAACCTTTTCTAAGCTAGATTGAGTTAAACCAAGACCCATTCTTAAGAGCCCTCTCTCATTTATGAGCCTGGGAAACTAGTTTAAATTAGACTTTTGAGTTTGAAGCATTTAAGTGGAATGAATTTCAGTTCATCTCTAGGCTAATTTTTTAGAACCAAGGAGCTGCATTTCTGAATATCAACTAGTAGTAGAAGACACGCTTATTTTGTTAAGGTAATGGCAGCCAATGTCAAGATGTAATTGTTAGCACAGGCCAAGAACAGTCTGATTGTTCATTCTACTCATACCTTAGTTATATGTACTATATTTGTACCTGTTTTTGTCCTGTTTACCAACAGCAATCTTAATATTAAAAAAGCCCCCATGAAATAGACTAGTTTTTTAATGCAATGTATGTGTGGAAATTTTGGATTTTTTGGTCTTGTAAAGACATTTGTGCAGTGCCAATATATCTGGATGGTGTAGCAAATGCATACATAATTAGTACTTAAATATATTTTTCTTTGGTCAAAAGATGATTTAAACAGGATGTATGGCTAAAATGCAATAAACTTGTATTTCAGAGAGACTTGTCTACAGACTTCAGCAATATAAGTCAAGAATATACTTCTAATAGGGTTCCAGTTTCTCCTGGTGAGTATTAATGATTTTCTTTTTAATTAACATCATATGCTAAACACTTCTTGCTGACCTTGACTAAAATAGTGGTTTTTAAGTACACAGTTACAGTTTAGTGACCTCTGAATTTAAACGCATGCTTTAAATTAGAAATTAACCTGCTAGTTATTTCATGTTCGTAATTTATTCTTTAGAAGCTTTATTTACTGAAATATTTTCATTAATGTTTTAAAAACTATATAATGTAGTAATTAATAGTTGCAAATAACTCTACTAAAAATCTCAAACATGTAAGTGTAATTAAGGTGCTATAGCTAAAGCTGCAGAAAACAATAATGTTATCGGCACTTTAAAGCAGTTGTCATAATGTTTTTAAAAGAAGCTATTCATAAGCACAAAAGGAATTATATTTGCTGCCACAGGTTTGTTATCCTCAAAATAGTGTCATATTTATGATGTTGTTTTTTACTTTTATAACAGTGCTGAGGACAAATCAGGGCTTTTTCATTCATAATCTGTGGTGTTTTTCAAATCACTGCTGAACACTATAGTTTCATCTCTCTTGAAGCAGCTATCTAACTAGCGTTTTTGCTAAACTTTCTTATTTTGAAGAGCAAGACAAAATCTTTTTCTTCTCTTTCCAACTTAATTTTGGTAACGTGCAATAAGTAAATGAAGCAGCGTTAAGTGCGAAAGAAATTAAAATGCTCCCCAGGACATAAGTAATTCTTCTGTCTTCCTCGAAGGTAGTTCTTTAGTCCTTACCTTGCATCATTCTCTTTATTAATTTGGCCTGTGTCCCGTATGGCAGCTGTTATTCTTACCACCAGCAGTAAGGAGCATATTCTATTTCTCATTCTCACTTATTAGGTGCTTTTGTCCAATGTTGGGCTGTTGCATTGAAATTAAAAGGGAATCTCAGTAATCTGGTTTCTGTGGAAACCAGGAAGGCAGTTTCTTGGTTATGACAAAAGTCGGGGCGGGGGGGGGGGGGGGGGTTGGGGTTTTTGTTGTTGTTTTTTTTTTTAATTTTGAACTCTCGGAAACAGGACCTTCTTTTTAGAGACCTTAGAAAGCTTGCAACATTTTTACTTCCTTTCATAAGTTTAGTGGTGTGTTACTGACATTTGAGGACTTAGAATCATAGAATGGTTTGGGTTGAAAGGGACCTTAAAGATCATTTAGTTCGACCACCCCCACCATGGGCAGGGACACTCTCCACTAGACCACGTTGCCCAAAGCCCCATCCAGCCTGGCCTTGAACACTTCCAGGGAGGGGACATCCACCA